AAAAAAATAAAAAATTTAAAAAATGAAAGACACAACCCACAAATGTATAGTTTTTGTTTTGTTTTGTTTTGTTTTGTGTTATAGTCTCAACAGAGGCAGGTAAAGAGTAGAATACGTATCACTATAGAATGCTTTTGTGATAAAATAGGAGTTTCCATTTTGTGACTTGCTTAAAAAACAAAAAAGCTAAGCTTCAGCCCTAGTCTCTATTGAAAAAGAAAAAAAAAGCAAAACGGAGGAATGTGTCTGGAAAGTGGAGTGAATGCTGGCATCTTCCCTTGGCCCACTCAACCCCGTCACCATGGAGACTCCTGAAGGTGCCAGGAGTGACTCACGATTGCTGGGGACGCCTTAGAAATGGAAGCAGCGCCATGCACAGGGAGGAACTCGGTTTGTAGCCCTTGAAGAAGGAGCCTATGACTCTGAGGCCTGGGGTGTGGCACCGGGGGTGGAGGTTCTGCAGAGAAGGCCCTTCCTTCCTCAGGGCCTCACCACTAAGGGACACTGGCTCCCCGAGCAAAGGTCAGGAAAGGCTTTTCCCTGTTGGAGAAGCAGGGCCGTGCAGGCTCGAGGGGCAGGCTGCAGCGAGGCGGGGTCCGGGCCCTGGGGGGCTAGGGAGGTGGTTCTCAGAAGTAGTGAGCTGGGCGTGCTGCTGCATGTGTGAACCTCGCTGGTGCAAAATGGCCTTGGGTTTCATGTCCACCTGGCAGGGATGTGACACAGAGCCACAGGAAGGAGCTCAGAATACGAAGTCACTCTGCCTGGTTTTATCTGCTGAACATTTCTAGAATCATTATGCAATGAGCAGTGCTGGGAAAGCCGCCTGCCCAGGGCTGTGACCTGGGCTTTCTTTGGGAACCCACACAGGATACACACAGGTGTGACCAGTGCCATACACATGGGCGCTTCTCTCTCAAGGGCTTCGCCCATGTAGCAGGGTTCTCTGGCTCCTGGGCACAAAGTGTACTCTTAGGGCCAATGAGCACCCCGACTCAATAAGTACCACTCAACGATACTCCCCCAAGTGCCCTGTGCTCTCCCTGTCAGGGGGCTTGTCCTGGTTGTCTCCCTTCCACTGGCAGATGTGTCAGGCTGCACTGTCTCCCACTCACGGCACAGCCAAGCCCACCAGCCACAGTGGAAAACAGACTGACTTGTCAGTCAGGCGCGGCCTTGTCTCAGGCTGAACAGAAGCTCTGAGTATGATGCTCACGGGAATTTCCCAGTTTTGCCTCCACAGCACTTTTCAAAACCAGCATTCACCAGAATTCCAGCATCCAAAATGCATGGGAATTATCCCCTTTTTCCTCTGGAAGAGGAGAACCTTCTCTACCCTAAATCCACACCTTAAAAACTGCAGACCTGCTTAACCAGGAAAACAAATGAGAAATAGAGACCTGAGCGAAAGCTGCAGTCACCGCCTTCCAACTATTTATTCTGATTTCTCGACAAGCGAGTTAATTGCATGGGCCCCCGTGACAGACATTCCATACTAAAATTCATAGCTTTCTGCCAAAACAACATATTGTGTGCTGCTATATTTTCCACGTTGGAGCCTGGAGCTGACATGAGTCCTGAGCATCTTTGTGTGGGGAAAGGGAGATAGAAGGTGCAGAGACTACCATGGGGGCTCCAGGGGATCCCCACTGGCCTGGGAAGGAGAGCCACCAGGCTGTCCCCTACCCCTCACAGCAGCACCTGCTGCCTTTGCAGGGTTCCAGTTCAGTGGGAGTCCCAGGGGAGGGGAACAGGTGCTAGTTCTAAAGCATCCCCAGCGGGGACCCCCTGAGCCTGGGAAGGATTTGGGCTGCATGGCTGCCCCAGCACAGGCAGGTCCCCTCAAGTGGTCCTGTCTCATGGCTCTGTCCCATGAGCCTAGGCACAAGCGTAAGGGTCTTCTTGATAGCATGGTGCCCCTCCTCCTCACTGGCCCTCAGCGACCCAGCTGCAGCCTCGAGTGGTCTGGTGGGTTCCTCAGCCTTTCAGCAAAATTTCTCAGCTGCCTCCTATGCCTCCTAAGTGATGCTTCCCCTCTGAAATCTCTTTTCATGCTATGGATTTTTCATTCCTCTGTGCATTCCATCCACATGTCACGGTCCCTTAGCAGCCCCAGCCCCTGCCTGCAGGCCCCTTTTCTGGTCCCCTCGCCTTCAAGAAGCAGTGCACAGTGATGTTGATGCCAAAACCCCTGCTCTCCTCCCAGGGCTCAGGGCTTCCCCACACCCCCTTCTCCACTCTCTGAAGCATGTGCCCTCAGCAGGAGACAGGCCCAGAGAGGCGGCTTACTCCCAGAATGGGGCAGCCTGGAGTCTTTGTTTCCCCTGCAGGCCCCGAACATACACATAGCAATCAGCACAGGATGCCACCTGGCATGCACTGGCGGGAGGCAAGCCCGACTGCACCCCGCAGAGCCCCCCAGCTCACTCCCCAAACCCTGCCTCAGTTTCCCTTTCTGAAGGGCCCCCCTACACGATCTCATGTAGTGTTCTCCTCCACGGCCCAGGAGCACCTCATGCATCGCCTCCATCCGACAGCGAGGGACTTGATTCATGTTCTTCCTGCCACTCTCAGAAGCACCAGCTGGAGAAAGTCCTTTGGTTGTTGCAGGTGTTTGTTCTGGCTCCTTCATCAGACTGTCCACCTTTTGAAGATAGAACTACATCCTTTATTTCTTTGCTGGCTCCCAGAAAACTCCTTTCTGGGGCTTCCTCCCTCCACCTCCCTGTATGTACCATTGAACCTTTGATTTGGGGGTCTCAGTCCTCTGTGGTCTCTTTTCCCCTGAAGCTATACTCCCTCTGGGCAACCTCACTCATGCACAGTTGCTGCTATCACTTCCAAGCTGAAACTGTCCCCCATCAAGAATCCAAACCCACATGACTTTCTATTGGACCTCTCTACCCCAAGTTCTGAGAAGACAAATTCAGTATAAACAAATTATCTGTCCCCCAACCTGCTCTTTCTCTGGTGTCAGCTGTCTCGATTAGCCATTCCACTAGCCACCCAGTCACCCAGGAACCTGGGCTCACCCTAGACTCCTCCCTCCCATCATCACCACCGGGCCTGCCCGTCACCTAGGTGGGACCTTCCAAACAACACCAGGACATGAGCTGAGCACTTAAATTAGAACATTTCATTTAGTTCTCACCACAAACCTGTGTAGCCAGCACTATTTTAATCCCTATCTTAAAGATGACACTAAGGTTTAGAAGGTTAGGAAATTGGCCGCAGACCCCACAGGGAGTAAGTGTGACACTGAGATTCATAGGCACAGGAACATGCACGCCTCCTCCTGCAGCAGCCAGCAGCTGCTCTCCATATGGAGGGCCCAGGGCAGACAGAAGTGGCTGCATAAGGGAGAAAATGGAGGCTCTGAGCAGCCGGGGACCTGTCTGAGCACCCCCCTCACCCCGACCCCAGAGCCACCATCTTCTCAGTGTCTGCAGCACAAGCTGCCTTTGAGGGAACGGGGCTCCCGAGCACTGGATGGGGTCTCCTTCTGTTAAATGCCAACTGAGCTTCACATCTTTGCAAGTGGTGATTAGTCTAGCGATGATGATAAGCCGTTGTACTAAATTTCCATTGATTGAGAATTTTAAAAAAAAGAGTTTTAAGTTGCAGTATGAAAGATCTAAATTTAAAATTTAAAAAGCCCTTCCAGATCTGGAGAATCGGTAGACTTTGTATTCCCCTGCTGAGGGGGTCCATGCAATCTCTCTCTCTCTCTCTCTCTCTCTCTCTCTCTCTCTCTCTCTCTCTCTCTCTCTCTCTCTCTCATTCTCCTGGAAAACCATTAAAAATGGCTCAGAGACCTGGTCGAGTTGGAATGACTTTGGAGGGATCCAACATGAAGGCGGCCCTGCCGCTCCGCACCAGTGGTTGCTGTTGGCTGGTAGGATGTATTGGATTTGGTGCACGTCGTGTTTCGTGAAAACTCTGATTTCGGGCTTCCTTTGAAACATCAGTTGGTATGACAACCTGAGCTCTGTGTCCCAGTTGGCAATAACCCTTGTGGAGCAGGGTCAGCCGGCCTCCTTGGACGGCCGCCTACTCCAGCTGGCCTCTGGCCCTCTGGCCAGCTTAACTACTGATGCCACCTTGCTGGCCTCTTCAGGCATGTGCGTTGGTGACAGCAGATGACATTAGTAAGGTCAGCTTTTCAAATGTGCCCCTTTCCTCTTAGCCAAACCGGAGCTGTGCCGGACTGTGTTAGATAGCATCAGACGACAAGCCGAATTGCTTTCACAGGGGAAGGTCTGAGTCCCACACGCCTATTTTATTTCTCCATGAAAACATGACCAAATAAAGCTACGTACCTGCTTGCCTTGTGGGGAAATCAGAAGTATTCACCGGTGTTGAAGTACAAACTTGTTTCTCAGACTGGCCAACTTCGCTGCACCGAGTCACGTGCTGACTTCTACTAAATGAAAACTCCAGAGCAGGCTGGAGCCTGACAGATAGAGCCTAGCCAGCATGTACTCTGGAGCTAATCACAAGCCTGTTTACAGGAAAATGCTCTCATCTGCCTCCAGCAGCTCCAGCCACTCAGCCATGTGACAGCCGTCTTCAAAGTCAATTGCCTGTCATTTTGCTGATTTATGTTGAACAACTGTGAGGGCCCCTTGAGGTATTTGTAGTGAGCTTGATGGTTCCCGGCTTATAAAGGGGCAGTGGGCAGAGTGTTTCAGTTCAAATTCCCATCAAGACAGAATTTAAATCCCTAGCTCTGCTGCTTGCATTTAAAACGTGAGCCCTTGAGATTAGCAGAGACCATCGTGCCCTGAACACTGGGGAAGTACAACGTGGGCCGTGTCACATGGATCCTGAACCCCCACCTCCTGTCAGGCCTTGGCCAAAAAAAGTGATTCCAATGGCCTTGAAAATTGTGATCACATATGCTTTATTCCGAGACGTGTTGACTGAGGCAGGATGGGAACTGTCAGAGAAGGAGGGGCCTGGAAACGTGTCTTTCCCTGCCCACCTGGTTTCATACATTTTCACCAGTAGAATCTGATTTCTTTGGATGAACTTGCCCTCTCATAGAGATTTTCTTTAAAAAATAAAAATATCACTGAAAATGGTGACCTATTAAATGACTAACTCATTGGCTTCTGGTTTAGCTTCAATTTTAACAGAGAAGAGAACACAGTCTCCCTTCTGTGTGGATTCCCTCTCAACTCCTCCCCGCTCCCCCATACACACAGAGAAAGTGCTGGAAGGTTCCAGATCTCAGTGTCAGGGAGCTGGCCCTCCACTGCTGAGGCTGGAAGGTGAGACAGCAGGTTATTTCTGAGAATCGCTTGCCTCCTGGGAGATGCCTTCCAAGCCCTATTCCAGCACTGAACCACCAAGAAGTGAAAATAGATGCATCCTTTATGTGTCTCCTGACTGCATTTGAAAGTCAAACACACATGACTTAAGGATTGCCCACGGCTTACATTGCCTGCATGTCTGCATTGCTGGTCCCCATGGTGTTTCAGATAATAAAGGCACACAGTGTTAGGGCTTAAAGGAGATTTAGAGGTCTAGTTCATCCCTTCACATGAGGAAACTGAGGTCCAGTGGTGTCCCCTGTCAGCTGAGCCCAAGGACCATTAAGAACCTTAAGAACCCATGTGAGTGACTGAGTCATCCAAATGAGCTGACTCCAAAGAGAGTTCCATTGACTCTTCCTGTCTTCTTTTCCCCTCTCACTTAGAGAAAGTGTGCATTTCTTCCATTTAGCAAAAGATAGCTCACACATGCCATCGTTACCGCCTTTCTTCTTCTCTTTATATTCCAGTCACCTTCCTCCGTGTTCCTGTCACCTGCCCCGTCTAGCCAGTTCCAAACTAGCTACCTGTCTTGTGCCCTGAACCTTGCTTTTTTGCAGCTTGCTTCTGTTCTAGGCCACCTTTCGCGCCCTCTCCCTGTGTCCTTCAGCTGGTAAAACTGGGTTCCCAAATCCCTTGCCGTGCTATGCCTCAGAAGTGCCACTGGGTGGCAGTGTTTCAGAGCATTCCTGAGCTCAGCAAGGGGCTCTGGGCTGGGCTGGTGGTTTAGTCATTTGCAGCACAGACAGGGTTGTGCGAGCCTGCCCAGCCAAGGGGGCCTGGCTGTGGTGCTCCAGGAAATGGACCATCAGTGATTATGGTGACTGGGACAGAGGTCTGCATACCGTCTGTGCACTTTGAGAGCTCGCTCTCATCCCAAAGCTAACATCTGCCATCACTCTAACAAAGGAGCCTTAAATCCTAAGGCTGTTTGGGAGAATGACTGTAACCCTCTGCCCTCCTTGTTTTAATTTCTCTACTGACTATTGGGCCCTGGTTCAACCATGAAAACAGCCACCAAAGGGAAAACAGGCAATCCCCAAGGGCATTCTGTGTTTGCTGGACAGGACAGAAATGGTCTAATCTCACTAATGGCTTTGGTCACTATAGGCTATTAGCTATTAGAAAGGTCTGTTTAAAGGGGGGTGGGGTGGGGTGGGGGAAGGGAAGACCATCTGCTGATTACAACACACCCGAGGAATGAAAAGAACATTTAAAGAGACACCAGCCGGCTGCTTGGACACAAATCATTCGTTGGTCGTTTGAAAGGTATATTCAGGGCTTGAATTTTAGCACCTGAATTATTTGCATGTCTCAAACTCTAAATACTGCAATGTCTCAGACGTTGGGCCAATCCCAGGAATGACCCGTTGTGTTTTCTGAAAAGAATGTCTCAAGGGACTAGAGGGAACGCGGCCTGAAATGTGTTAACGTTTACATCATGGATTGGATTCTTTGGAAGTCAGACCAAATGTTTTTTTGGGTTTTTTTGTTTTATAAACAAGTCAGCTCAAGACCAAACTGTGAGGTACCCGTTTGATTTCCAAGCGTCCACACAGGAATGGTCCTCTGTGTCCTTCCCAGGGGCGACCCGTCTCTGGGCCTTCTCTCATTTCTGTGGGTTGCACCAGTACTCCCCTCCCGGCCTCACTGGGAACCAAAGAAAGCGGAACCTTCCTGAGTACCAGGAAGCATCAGGAAAGCCAGAGGCAAGCTGACGTCGCCTCCCAGGCGGCTGAAGCTCAGACCCAGAGGCAAGCAGATCCCTGACTTTGCCTCCTGGCAGGACCCTGGTTCAATAAGGCCACAACTGTTGTCGCATCTGGGGGTTTTATTTCCCAACTCAATGAGAAGGAAGATGTTCAGGATGCATTTGGTGTTGTCACACCAAATCAAACATTTGATCTCTGAACCGAGAGCATGTGAAGGTTTAGGGACAGAGAGCTTCTGGGTACAGTTTACCTTTAGTAAAGGGAGTTGAATCCAGGCGGGAGGGGTGAGGAGAGAGGAGAGCAGGGACAGCCACACTGTCAAGCTCCCCAAAGGCACAGAGTGTTGGAAAATATAGAAAATAGAAAATTTGAGGTGTGGGAAGGCCAACAGAGCAGGAGACAACAGCTATTGAAAAGATAGTTTGTTTAGTCAGAGTTCCCAAGAGAAGGGGGCACACCATGCCATGTCACACAGGGCCACACCAGGAAGCCCCAGGGCCAGTCAGGGTGCAGAAAGAGAGGGAGGAACTTGGCTAAGAGCCTTCATTGTGGTGTGAGCTGGAAGGAATGAGGGAGGCAGGGTAAGCAGGTTTAGGATCAGCTTGTTTGGTTAATTTCAGAGGGCTCTGAAGCATAGGGCTGTGGGGTTGTCTGGTATCTGGCTCTGGGGTGATCAGGGCGGGGGGGGGGCGTGTTCGAGCCAATGGAGGAGGTGGGTTGGGGTGGGGGGAGCATGTAGGCTCTGGACTTGTGGGTTTGCATATGAAAGGCATGTTCCTGGGTTGCTTACAGCTCTAAGTCTCAGCTCACCCTAGAGGGGGCAGTTGGTCCTTCCAGGTTCAGCAAGGCCCAGGATGTCAAAACAAAAGAATGTTGAAAAGAGAAGACATGGTTTCCTAAGGGCTGACTCAGGACACAGTATGACTCTAGCAATGCTGCCACCTTGTCCCTCGGCTGCCACTACAGTGCTCCTGATGGGGTGACTCATCCTCAGCCCCTCTCCTCCCCTGTCTGGCTGGACATAGGCTCCAGGAGAGGCTCAGACGGGTCCAGTGGCCTCCATGAAGCAGCTGTCCTCATTGGGCAGGTTTTCACGCCAGGCCACCCAAGCAGGCTGCCCATGAATCAGATGCCTACTGGTGGGCTAATGCATTGACTGGTGGGTCTCAGGGCTTGGGCAGCTCAGCTTAGACCTCCCTGTTCGGAGGCCTGGGGGTGAGGACAGACCCCCTGAGGATTCCCAGGAGAAATTACCACCAGCCAGCACCTCACTTGGCTTTTCCCATATATTGCTTCTGGAAGGCCAGAAATGAACCTGAGCTCCAATGGCAGAGGAACCAAACGATTTCAAACAGGGCAGTTACAAGTGACAGCAGCATTTTCATAAGGAAGGCTAATGTGGTGAGAACATATGGGGATGGACTGGAAAGGGAAGGGCATGGACACTGGTAGAGTTGTGAGCCTCCCGTAACAGGTCCTTACAGATCCAGACACCTGGAGTGGGTGGTGGCCATGGGGACAGAAAGGGGGAGGCAGTTCCCAGAGTCAGGCTAGAGGAAGCGTTGACAGAACTTAGCAACTCACTAGCCGAGGAGGGACAGCCTAAAGCTTTGGACCTGGAGGGCAGAGAGAAAATGTCTCACTGACAAAACCAGCTAAGTATGGACAGAAAACAGATATGACAGGAGCTCTTGTAGATACATAAATTTTTCAGGTGAGGGACACCAACAGCCACTGCTGTTGCTGAGTAGGAACAGTGTGGCCCTAGCAATGACACACCTTGCTGAGAGACAATTTAGTGATGTACTTTTTCACTCCTGAGTCCAGTAATTCCATGAACACAACTACCACCTTCCTTGATGTCCCCCAAGTTTTTTCAAATCCCCAGGTCTAGATCCACAGTAAGTAAGGGCCAACTACACTTCTCGGATCTCTTCTACCCACCCCTGCCCCAGGATGATTTTTAAATAATTTTTAAAAAGCATGACTCTCATACAAATATGTACCGAACACCTGCTAAAGAGCTATTTTACTCACTAATGAGAAAACCAGCAGGATGGTTTCAAGGAGCATTTGTGGGACAGACATTGATATGCTCTCTTGGGAAAGGAATGGTGAGGTAGGTTTGCTAAGCTTGATGCAGAACAAGTGAGTGTCCTACAGGGCAGGACAACTATAGCTTTTTGGGTTGTCTTATTAACTGGACAAAAATGTTTACGTCTCAACTGGACAAGAGAGCATCTGCACCTTAGCGATGAGCTGCAAGGTGGCATCTAACTTGAGCCCTAATTGATGGTGAATAGTTGGTTGAACCAGGTATATGAAGCTCAGACAATTAAGTTCACAAATCTTCCACAGTGTAAGCGCATGGTAGACAGTTCGCAAACTTAATTGTCCAACTCGTATTCTTCCACAAAGTTCCAATTTGACACTGAAATGTCATACAGTTGCCCTCTTGCTT